AAGGATTGGTGTGACGCTTTCCCGATATGAAACGTCACTTATTGTACTTTAGAATTACGTATTGTTAGTTTAACGCATTTTCGTATATGACACTATAATACAAATTAATCGAAATTATGTGAAATTACTATGTTGCACTGATATTCTGACACTTCATGAATATCTTTACAAGAGTTTCTCTGTTACTTCTCTGTTAGAAAGGGAAATTTCTTTGAAAAGAAAAAATGAAAAAGTTAATCTCGATAAATTAGATTTAACAGGAATTTAACGTCAGAAACAACTATTTCCAACTAATCCAAGAAGACACAATTTTCCCTTTCATTTCTCTGGCATCTAACTGCTAAAACAAGAACCGTTGTTTAATTCGAGCGAGCCTCAATCTAACTCTCGTTTCATGCGTATTATAATTCGACTCAATCTGAAAGTCAACTCTATCTACAAAGTCTAGCGTGTAACAAGAATGTCTGAGCAGCACAAGACCGGAGACAGACCCTGGTCCCCTCATAACGAAACGTTTGAAAAATCCCACACAGTCGTCGAGAACTCGTAATTCATGTTGGTGTCGCGGAAATTGTTATTTATTTTCGCCGCAGTCGTGGCCAGCGTCGCGGGATGAATTATTCGAGCGCACAAAGGCGCGTAGGAAAATCTGTAGGTTGCGCAACGGCGCAACAGAGAAAATCGGGTCTCGATGACACGCTCGAAAACGCCGCGACCATTCCGCCCGGTTTCTGCGCGGAGGCGAAACGCGATAAAATAATCGCGTCGCTCCAAGGAGATTAGGACGCTTAACGCGCGGCGCCTCTGGACTTTAACACGATAGGCTTTAATCGAGCGCCGATGCCGCGGTAAACAAAATAGTTACGCCGCGTTTCTTTCGTATTTTTTCGCCGTGGACGCTTTGACGATCTGTGCACACGAACGAATAAGGAAACATTGTGCATCCCAACAGATAATGTTGATAAAGAAGTCGAGAAGGACGGTGGATTGTTTTATTGGGAACTCTGTATAGGTGGGAAAAAATTGTGTTCCAATTTGAACGATGAGAAGTGAGGGAGTAATGTGAATAACGTGAATGTTGAGAAGTAAGTCAGAAAGAATGATGGAATGTTTTGTTGAAGATTTTGTAGGTGGAAAAAAATTGTGTTCTAATTTGAACGATGAGAAGTGAGGAAGTAATGTGAATAACGTGAATGTTGAGAAGGAAGTCAGAAGGAATGATGGAATGTTTTGTTGAGAACTCAATAGGTAGAAAAAATTGATTTCTAATTTGAAGCATAAGAAATGAGAATTCAGAAATAAGTCAGAAAGAATGATGGAATGTTTTGTTGAGAACTCAGTAGGTAGAAAAAATTGATTTCTAATTTGAAACACGAGAAATGAGAATTCAGAAATAAGTCAGAAAGAATGATGGAATGTTTTGTTGAGAACTCAATAGGTAGAAAAAATTGATTTCTAATTTGAAGCATAAGAAATGAGATACATAATGATAGCCGTGTTGCTTTCGATTCATTTCGATGTCTGTCTGAAAATTATTTTTCTTCAGTATTTCTTCAGTATGGAAGCTTCGAAAATTGGTGTAGACGAATGAAAGAGGAAATATTGTAAATTCGAAGGAATAATGTTGAGAGAAAGGACAGAAAGAATGATGGAATGTTTTGTTGAGGACTCTGCAGGTAGAATTAATTGATTTCTAATTCGAAACACAAGAAATGAGGTTTATAATAATATTTTTTGATAAATGTGTATAGCCCTGTTGTTTTTGACTCATTAAGATGTTTGTTTGAAAAAAATTCTGAACTTCTTCAACATGTGCAGCGTACTCCTAAGGACTTTGTGAAGTCAGCCATGTTTTCAACGCAATGTTTACCCGACGAACTTTTCTAAGGAGTAATATTTTTTACAGGAATATTTCATAACTTATTTTAACACTTTCAACAACAATAATAAGACGAAACGTAAGTTACGAAGTACAATACTTTATGTAATATAAAAGTTTTATATAAGCAAAGAAGACTTGACAAAGAAAAATTTCAAAGGAGGCAAATATATTACAATTGCAAAATCTAAGTGTCAAATAGATACTCAAGTAAGGCAACAAAATCGTTCACATCCGATTCACAGAAAATTACAAAAATTCTACAATTGAACTACTACCAATTCTCCTCAACTTAAAAAAAGTCACACCCAACGTTTATAATGCCATAAAATATCCAAGTTCCCGAAGAAGAATAAACTTGACGTAAACGAAGAAAAATGTCCAACGAATGTCATTCGTTTCAACGAAGGGGAACCACGAAAATATTGAGAGTTGCTCGAGGCGACGATTAAAAGCAATCGAAATTGATTTTCCAGCGAACTATCGAAAAAAAAACGACGGCGTGCGTTTTGCATCCAGCTCCTTTCGTCGGCGTAGCCGCGAGTTAATGCATCGGTTCAATTAGCGGCCAACGCGGTGACACGGAACAATCAATTACGTTTGTTTACAAGGTGTACCCGTTAACGGCGCGGCCATTCAGCAGTCGTTTAAAACGGAATTAACATTCCTCGAAGATGAACGCCGGTTTCGCTGATCGTACATTGCTCGACACTGCTCGAATACGCTCGTGCGATCGGAAAACGAACGTCGCCGTCTGAAAATCACGAGCATCCACGTTCCTACCAATCGACACGATTTCATCGACAACCGCAAACCAGTACAATTTTACGAACCGTACAGAATACATTGAAGAAGAAGAAGAAACATTCGATTAACCGGAGGATACATTTTCTCTAGACATTTTGCATTCCCTGTAACGAAGCACACACGTAATCCATTTGTACGAAACGCAAAATGAGGATTCGCAAAACTTACGGAGGAATGTTTAAAAAGGAACACTTATTATTGTCTCAATTACTTTCATTACTTCACGTTGAATATTTTCTTCTTTAAAAAAAAAGATACAAAAATTCACAATTATATACAGAATACCAAATTTCGAGGATCGAATTCTCCAAAAAAGATTCAGATAAAAGTGTCCTCAACTTCGAGCCCTAAAATTCCTAAATTCCCAAAGACACTTTTCCCTCCAAAGAGAAAACACTTCGTTTTAATAAAAATTCTCTCCAATTTACTAATACGTTTGCTTAAAACAAGGCCTGCTGAAAAATCACCTTGAACCCCGTTCAACGTGAAGGTATCAAACGAAAGAAAAATGTGCACCTTTTAGCTGAGATCGAAATCGGCAACCCTTTCCCGCCTGATACAGGGGGAGAATCAATTAAGCAGGGGCGCGAGTCTGGGCTCGCGTGTCGCGATCCATTACACCGGGTGACACCCGAAAAATTCACGAGGTTCGGGGCGATCCGTCAAACGCGTGTACGCACGCAGAGGCCTGTCGTCGGCGTGCGTTTTTTACTCTCTCGCGGCGATCTACAACGTTGCAAATCGTGGAACCCGTTCCGCGAGCAACGAATATATCA